GTGGTTCTTGCGGTGGCCCAGGTTGGGTGACACAGCCCCATACAGGAGATCCCCTCCCCCCAAAGGCAACACTGCAGTGCCTGTAGCTTGTCCCCCAAACCTAGGGACCCCAGTATGGCCATGTCCCCCCGAGAGACACCCACTGGGCCCCTCGGGCTCCATGTACATGGCACAAGCCTTTGGCTAAGGATTGACCTTTATTGACCTAACCGCACAGAAGCCCAGGCTGGGGCTAAGCCCCCATTGGAGACCCCAGGAAAGCCGTGGCAGCGCCCTCCATCCTCCCACTGCAGCAGATCCCTGCTCCTGGGCCGTCTTGTGTCTCCAACCATGCCAGCCTGTCCAGCGCTCCATGGGGGATGCCTGGGGTGGGAGAGGAGGTTGCTGCACGTCACAGCACAATGCAGTGCTGCTGGGCTTGCTCAAGCATGTGAGGGTCTTTATCCCTCCTAGGGCTGCTGCTCTCGCTGCTGAGGGCTTTGCATCAGTGTTGCAAGAGAAAATGCAGAAAGCTTTAGTTCCCCGTCTCTAAAACCAGCTGAAGGCACGCGACAGGGCGCAGTAATAGCTGCCGTTGTCCTCACTGCGGGCAGATGCGATGAGGAGGATGCAGGCATTGCTGGCAAGGTCTTTGGTAGCAGAGAAGCGGTCGGGAGTCTTGGCAGGCCTATGCTTGTCTCGCTCAGAGTTGTAATAGAGCAGGTACCGCAGCAAGTGGCCAGGGCGCTGCTGGTACCAGGAGATGCCGAAATCGCTGATATTGTACTGGGGGCTCAAGGTGCAGGGGAGCCGAGCGGTTTGCCCGGGGAGCACCGACACGGAGGAGGGCTGGGTCAGCACAGGTTGGGCCCTGCAAGCTGCACACACCGAGGATGCAGTTACCGATGGGCTGTGTCCCACACCACCCTCAGCCCCCAAATGTCCCCTTTGAGGCAACCCCACTGCCCAACATCCAACCTGCTCATCACACCACAGAGCCTGGGAGCAAAATGTCTCCTCTCAGACTAATGTCCCCCTTGTACAGCCCCATCCTGCCCGCCACCCCACAGTGTCACCCCCAGACAGCTCAGCCACACCACCCTTACCTGTCCCCACCAGCAGCAGAACTGTGAAGCCCAGGGCCATGGCAGGAAGCAGAGGAGGGGAGGCTGTTTCAGAGAGGGTCTGTGGAGCTACACAAACCCGGGTCACTGTGCCGCTGGGGCTGGCGGGGCATATGTAAATGACACAGGGGGCTCGGGGACCTCGGCTCCTCACCTCACGTTGCTCACTTTGCTGCAGCTGGGCTTCAGGGAGGGGGCTGGAAGCAGTGGGGCGAGAGCTGAGCATCGCAACCCACTGCCCACCTTCACCCCGGGCTAGGCCATTTGCCCAGGTGCACCATGCCCACGCAGCCCACCCCACCAACCTCTGCACTGGGGTACGGCGGGGGGGCATCACCTCCTGCACACAGGAGGCAAAGCCGGAGATGCACCACACCAAAGGTGCCCTGTGGTAGGCCCAGGCTGGGGGCTGCTGCCTGTGCTGTTATCAGGGAGAATAGGAGACAGGATGCGCCAGAGGCCCCTGGCAGCTGTCTCATCAAAGAAGCAATATAAGGAAAGTTGCTGCTCCCTTCTCCATGCAGCTTCATCGCTGTGACAGGAACGATTGCCCACAGCACAGGCTGGGAGCTGCTGATGGTGCTGAGAGCAGGCAAAGACATTGGGGTGGCTGCAGGGGTCACCTGCGTTTCCCAAGGGAGCCAGTGCAGTGAGACATGGGTGCAGCACAGCTGGTGCCTTGTGCAGAAAGACAGCAGACCGCAACAGCAAAAGGCTGCCAGACCCAGCAGGCGTAAAGCCCCCCCTGTCTATAACACCCCTCAGCCCAAAGCTCTGCACCCTCTGACCACCAGCCCATGGCAGTCCTTCGCAGCAGGACCCCCCAATGCCATCACATCACCACTCAGGGATGGCCCTTTCCCTCCCTTCTGCAGCACCCAGCCCTGCAACCGAGGCATCTCCAAGCCAAATGTTTGCAGGTGATTCCTGACATGACTGGCCTGTGCGTGCTCTGGGTTCAAGGGAAAACAGAGCTCAGAGACAAAGCCCTGTCTTGTTAGATGACCCAGCACTGTGTCTCTGGCACAAGCAGATCCCAAAGAGGACACACCACCATCATCCAAGGGTGTGATTCAGCCAGCTGGACACTTGCTTTGCTGTGCCACGCTGCAGCGCTCTGAACAAGGGCTGGTGCACCCAACGGCTCATCTATTTTTTCCACATTCTCTGTCAGTTGGTCTAACAAAAGCAATTACCCACACAACCCTGCCCGATTTACTGTGACACAGCCGCCCCTGGGAGCAGAGAGAGGAAAATGAAAATTAGAGGCGGTAACTGGGGCAATCAGAGCAGCCATAACACAGATGCCACAGAGCAGGGCCTGCATCTGCAGTGCCATGAAGTAGCAAGGTGCTGGTTAGACCTGCTGGACCATACAGCACCTTGTGCAGCCGGGCTGGGGAGGCTGTGGTACACATGCCTGGGGATGAGGAACATGTAGGTGCCACACAGCAGCATGGGAAGGGTTCCCTGGCTCAAATCCCAGCACTCAGCTTCAGAGAGCAGATACCTGCAGCTGATGGGAAGGAACAAACAGACCCATCCTGGCCTTGCCCAGTTGGCAGAGCCTCTGCCCGACCCCAGACACTTGCAGTTGAAGCCGCCAGACACACATGGTCCTGAGCCTTTGCTCCCTCTGCTATTTGGATTGGATCCCCAGCTCCGACTACTGACGTGCGTCAGCCCTGGAGATTTCTCAATTGTGACAAACTTGGTGAGAGTTCACGGCCAAACATCCCCTGGTGACTCAGCCATGACCTCCAACTCTTTCCTGTTGTGACTGGTCCAACTTTTTGGAAGGGGATCAGCCAGGGCCAGTGCTCACTGCTTTTTCCTACTCATGTTTGATGAAATGAAGGACAGACACCTCATCAATCAGAGCCAAGTAATAATACAGCAGCTTGAAGCTCTGCTGATAGCCATAAGTGGATCCTACTTCCACTGGCCACAACAGCAGTCACTTCTTGGCCACTCACTGCACCTCCTGCCTTGTCCATATGGCCCTTGTATACAGGGTGACCACACTCTTATCTCATTCTTTGCCTACAGCCAACTGCCAAGAGATGATGAACCTGCAGTGCTGCATCATGACCCTCACTGCTCACCTGAAGAGGAAGCATCAGTGCAGACCTGAAGGTACGAGTGCTCCTGGGCAGCAGTCACCAGAGGGACCAGCACTCGCACAGAGAAGCAGCAGAAGGTAATAAACAGGTTGCATGGGAATCCCAGATCATCCCAAAACTCAGGGAAAGTAGCAGCAAACCTCCTCTCTTCTGGACCTCAACACCTTCTCTTCAAAGTATAACTCACCAAGGAAAATGCCTCTTACCATGCACCTGCATCACTGGATGAGTCTGCCTTCAACACCCTCACAGTGCTGGGAGTGGCCTTCTAGAGACTGCACTGCAGTCACCAGGGAAAGCTGTTCAAGAGACAGTCCCCACAACTCCAGAAGCAGCACTGCCAGTGCTGATCCAAGATGAGTCAACAGACAGCACAGCTGCTGCAGGTGCCCCCAGTGGGTTTAACAGATTCTCCACCCAGACCAGCACATATCAACATCAGCCGAATATTTCTTAAAGAGAGCTAGTTAAGAATTTCCCATCACAGAGATTCCTCCTTGCTCACATTGGGGCAGCTCAGCACACAGACCACTTGGGCTTTGAGTCTCTGGCATCTGCTTTTCCCCTTGACAGTCTCTCAGAGGAGTACAAGGCACTGCAGAGGCAGTGCAGGACATTATCTACCACCAAGAATTTAGGTCTTGACACTTACAAGGGGCAGGACTTTCAACACTAGCCTCCAGTATCCACTGCCAGCTTTGACAGGTCTAAGCCTGACCTTCCTCACAAATCCAGGAAAGGGGCTGAGATTGAGGCCCAATATTCAACAGCTGGAGGTCAGCAGTTAACAGATTAATTCTGCCATGAAAACCCAGCAGTTAAGCATCTGAAAGCATAGTTTCACTGCTGTGCCACTAAAACTCCAGCTGAAGACTCAGAATTCTTCCACACCAGCATGAGAAGCAGGGTCTCCTGCTGGAGGCCAGTCTGCAGCCAGCACTCATAAGATTGCTCTGCAACAGTGACTGTAATAGGAAAGCAGCTCTGAACTTCACCTGTTGCTGGTGACCTTGAAAGCATTGCATAACCCACTAAGGCCTTTAAGTAAGATCAGCTGGCTTACCCGAGGCACACAGCCAGACAGGTCACATTTTCTTGACTCCAGAAAGAGCTGTCAGAACAGCTCTTCAGGAAGAGGATATCCATGGAAAAACAATTTGTGACTGAAAATACTGTAGGACATCTCAGATTACCTCTCTCCAGCAGCTCCTCTGCCTGGAGCACAGCCAGTTCAGCCTCAGCTCAGTCATGGGTCTGCTTTTGCAAAGTCACACAGGCATAGTCCTCACTAGGCAGCACCTCCTGTTTGCAGGAAATGTGCAGTTGTGCCTTGTCCCTTAAGTGGCTGGTACTGTTAATGTTTTGGTAGTTTTAATTTTAGCTTGAGAATGAAATAAAGAACATGCACAAGTGATAGGTCCAAATAAATTCCTTTATTTCTCTGTAATAAATACAGCACTATCTGAATTTCAAGTTCCCACAGGTCCAACCATTCCTTTCCTTGCCTACTACTTCAGAAGTGAATTACCACTACAACACTCCTATCCGGTCAGTCTGTTCCCTCCAGCTCATCCCTGTCCATCCTTCTGCTCCCTGCAGGCAGCAGAGCTCTATGCCAGGCTCCTCTTCCCTACAAGGGGGCAGATTCTTCACAGGAGAGAAGAAACACCTATGGGGGAAAGCACAAGGTCAGCATCAGGTGCACATCCCAGTAGCTTAAGTCAATAAAAGCTCTCACCTAAGGTGACCAGTTTAAGATCAAGACATAGCTACTGACATCTGCTTTTATCAGATGCAGCAGGAAGAACAAAGCAGGAAAAACAGCAGGCTCGGACAAGAAAGGAACCTCTAAGGGGTTATCTACAGCCTCCTCGCCTTCAGAGGCACAGTTCCAACCATTTCTGCTGCCCTTGCCAGTTCCCTTCCACATTGCAAGACACAGGAAAGGCATTTGTAGAGCCAGAACTGCTTCCTGTTAAAGCCTCCAAGGGCACTGTAACCTCAAGGTGCTGTTTCTGCAACCTTTGCACCCTCTCGGGTACTGTCCTGGCAGCTGCCCCCTCCTGCAGGGACAGGGCACAGACTCACCATTACTGTGCTTGCACTGTTTCAGCGCTTCGTTGAAGCCCTCACACAGGGTCAGGTCTCTCTGGTTGGTAGCACACTCCAGGAACTGCTTCATCTCATAGTGGCAGGGTCCATAGGGCGACTGCTGATACAGGGGCTGCTGCTGGGGTGCCTGTGGGCAGGGGCCTGTTTAGGGAAGGCCTGGGGGCAGAGTCAACCCCTTCAGTGACCACAGCGGCTCCTTGTTACCTCGGACTGCCCGTTCGTCTGTCACTGCACCGGTCAAGCAGCCCTCAGAAGCGCCGGCGCTGCCCGGTCCCGGCTCCGCCCGCCCAGCTCCCGCAGCCCCTGCCCCCACGGCCGG